ATGTTGCTAAGGCTGTTGCAATCTTTAACAGGAAAGTGAGTGCTTTGGTTTTCCGTATTAGATGGCTTCTTAAAGCAGAATGGTATATCAGGTGGTTTATAAATCGATGTTACTACTGTATACAGAGGGTCAGTTCAACCGTAAAGATTTCTATGTTGCCCTCTTCGTTGAAGTCCCCTAAATGGAACTTCAGTACCTGTTTTCACAAAAATAGCCCCTCAGCAACTGGATACATCCCAGGAACTTTCTGTCTGTGCTGATCAGTTCCATTGTGAGTTTCTTGGACACAAAGAATGTCACATTTCCATTGCAACAAAGTGAAGCTAAGAGTTCCTCTTTAGATGAAGAGATGCCCTCAACAGTACATGAATAGAAATTATTATCATTTGTGGTCCTAAAAAATGACTGTTGGGTCATTTTGCTCATCAGCTAGTTTATACTGTAACACTTCTGGAAGTGAAGGATTGGCTGGCTGCACACCATTGCCTGGGGGATGCCCAAGTGTACTCACAATGCTTCCCACTCTTTGGGGATATGCCTTCTATGTCCCCCTTCTGCAGCTTACTAAAGTCAGGCAGGCAGGCAAGCAGACAGCAGTCAAGTAACTTCATTGAACTACCTGGCTAGGCAATAATCAGTTATTTCAAAGGAATTGTCAGAATAGTGCTTTCAAAATATCCACTCCTGGAACTGAGCGACTATGTCTGATGTTCATACAAAATTGACATGCCGTGCCATATCCTTCCTGTGATTCATCAGTAGTTATATCTATGTGTGTGGTTTGCTTCTTTTGTTACAAAATGATACACATACCCCTTTTATTTAAAAAACAAGAGATGTCCAATTCAATGTTTATCAATCAAGATCTCTACTACATACAAAGATCTAACTTCATAGATTAATTAATCATAATAATCTAGCCTCAACCTCTGACCAAAATGATTTCAGGGACTTTTTTCCTCTCTTCCTGCCCCCAGCTCTGCCAAATCCAGTCTGATGAGAAGGTCTGCAAGATTCAAACGCTAGCCTGTTTTTGAGATTTGATTCATCTAATGCTGTAAAACTATTGATGCCCTGTGTGGTGGAATGGAAAGAGTGATACAGTAGGAACTCTGGGTTCAAATTCCTGTTTGGCCTTGGAAACTCACTAGGAGAGTAGAACTGATAAAACCCCTCCTTAAATATCTCAATTTCCTTGAAAGCCCTATTAGAGTCATAATAAATGGGTCACAACTTGATGACACATAAGATATCATCCGATAGCCAGTTATACATGGGGCACAGAGTATTAGAAGTACTGTAGAATCAGGAGACTTGGGTTCAAATTCTTGCTCGGCCAGAAAAACTCATTGGAAGGTAGGGTGGCCACATAAATTACATCAAAAAGGTAGGCAAAAGAGGACATTGATTTGGATGGAGTTGTATATGTTAGTTTAGATGTAGAAATACATAATTAGAATTTTTCATACTTAAAGCACAATTACATCATGCACCTTGCCTGAATGCAGAAAACTGCAGCCACGTTACCTGTCTGATCACTGAGACTGCTGTCCTGGTTCTTACAGTGATAGGTATCAGAGCAACTCATTTCCTGCTAAAATTCTTCAGCTATAAATCAGGTTTGGACTGGAAAGCCCTTCAAACGGAGAACCGTCCTCTGCCAGCTCTTCACGTGGAGGACCATCCTCCCTAAAAGAGGGCAGATGGCCACCCTAACACATGAGGCTGGGAGTTCCACTGGGAGAATATAGGCGGGGAAGTTTCCTGGAAACGAGCGGCTGTTAAAACGGACAGAACTCCAAATGAAATATTAAACTGCTTCAGACCATTATTAGTATTAGCTGTTGTTATGATCACCTTTGTTTCACCAGTCATTGCACCATGAAGAGCAAAATAAAACTAATCCCCACCACTGAAATATATATTTACTTGATGCTTCATTTAGCTCTCTAGTCTATTTGCTATAAATCGGAAAAAAAGCGCACCCGTCAGTTAAAGGCAACCAAGCCGGGCGGAGGTGGAATTTGAAGGCGCGTTCATTCCCAGCGAGCTACAGAGCGCAGGCGTGTTGTCACGTGATCTTTCTCCTCCTTCCAATATGGCGGCGCCCAGCTCTTGCATTCGGAGCCACCTTGTGCAGGTAACTCAAGTCTTTGTATCCTCGGGTTCGGGAAAAAGTTAATGCGATTTGCACGGAGAGCCGGGAGAGACACTGCGGCCAACGGTTTCATCTTCTCGCTCAGCGTGGCAGTTCAGCGGGGTAATGAATCCAGCGGATTTAATCTACGTACTGGTTCAAGTGGCGGTTTCCCCGCAGTGCCCTCCCTGCAAACACCAGGATCCGCTCTCCTTCTTAAGAAACGTTGCTCCGTATTTCAGTGATCTAACTTATTTCATGGGTTCTTCTTGTTTTGCGTTGATGAACTTTGGGCTGCTTACTATTTATCAGCCCAGCTTACTCCTTTGAGTTGCTGCGAAGATAGAAGAGATGGAAAATGTGCACCCTTTTGCTACTGCTTGCTGTTTAAGCTCAGCCTTTTTCACAACATTTTCTGTATGCTATTTCATTTATTTTTATTTATGGAAGAATACTTGGTGAGTTAAGCCCGTCGTTAATAAGAGTTTGTGCCAAAATCGGCTTATGAGTCTGAATGCCAAAAATGCTTTAATTTATGATGGTGGCTAGAGTAACGTTTTGTGTTCATGAACCTTTTCTTTCTTTCTAAATGTACTCATAAAACACCAGTCATAAACAGAATTCCAAAATTCACTGTCAGGCAACACTTGTATTAGGACAAGCAATGTGCATAAGATTGCGGGGAAAACTGAACACAGGCTGTCATTTTTCTGATGGGTTAGCACGCATCCTTTTCCTAAACTTTTTAAACACAACTACAGAAGGCAGTGCAATTATTTAAAAAACTATGAGTGAATGGTAGCAAGTATCTGTGTAAATTAGTTGGGGGCGCCCACCCTCAGTACCTCCGTCTATTAGCTAACATTTTAAGGACTTAAGATTTCCTAGAGGTTATCTTTATTTATTTCATCTTATATATGTACAAGGGTAAAATATTCCCTGATTTCTCTAAAAAATCACTTGTGCAGTGTTGAAGGAGCAGAAACATAGGGTTTGGTTACTACAAACTGCATTGTCCAGAAAAACAAAAGTTAAATATTGATTTCTGTTTATTGTTACTTATGTTTAAGGTGACTTACAAGTAAAACAAGACACAATAAATATCATCTCAACAAGACAATGTAATTAATATTGTACAAGTCAGAGATGAAGATGGTTCCTGCTAGTATAGCTTTAGCAGATGCAACATTTGCACTTGCTGCAAAGTGGGGGTAGGGGGATGTCTGAAGAGAGGAGCCCGCTCATGTGTGATGCAAAGTCTTGTGTGGTCAGGGTTCTTCCTGGTGGGGGATAAGGTAAGGAGAGAGTGATCTCCTTTCCTAGAATTGCACACCTCAAATATAAACAACGTAAGGTAGAACAAGTGGATATCTGATGCTTAAAGCTGGAAACAAGGTACAGTTCTTCCCATTGCATGATCTTAATCAAAATAGGGTTTAATTTTAAAAAAAAAACTTATCAGCATCCTTTCCATAGGGTCACTGTTGGCAAATTGGCTGTTGGGAACTGATGAGAGAGTGGATACAGTCCAGCATGAAGTGTTCTTATGCTGCTTCCATTTTATCTACTGTGTGGTTAGTGATACATAGACTCTAGCTGAAGGGTAGAAAGGAAACAATCTGACTATAGTAAAAGTAGCATGTGTGCCCTTTTTGCCTGCTTCCCTGTCCCTTTCCACAGGACACAGCTTTCCAATGTGCATCTGAGCCTAATCCCCCCCCCCATATACTTTGAGAGAGGAAAGTTATTCTAGGATGGATTGGCATTGCATGTGTTGCAGCTAAGGAAAGTGGAGCGAAGTAGCCCTTTGAGCATCACTCAGGGTCTCTAACGTACATGATGTCCTGCACTTTACTGCCTTTTATGGCTGATTCCTACTTATTGGAAAATAGTATTGCTTTTAGGAGCGGCTTTGCTTGGGGAACAGAAAGACAACGTTTATTGGATAAACTCTGAATTCCTCCTCCATTAACAATGCCTGGTGTTGTTAATGAAGGAGGAATTCAGAGTTTATCCAATAAATGTTGTCTTTCTGTTCCTCAAGGTGAGAAGTGAATGCCTGTCTATCATATTAAGATGTGGTTTTCACAGTTTCTTTTCTATTCATATGTTGTTATGCCCATAGGTTTATACTCAAGTGGAGGGTGCCTACAGTGGGTAGCAATTTCCATGGTTATAGATTCTATAGCCAGGGGTCTCCAAACTACGGCCCGCAGGCCACATCTGGCCCGCCTTGCCATTTTACCCGGCCTGTTCCCCTCAGCGCATTGGGGGGGGTGCGGTGCATGTGTGTGTGGGGGTCATGCTGGAGTTTTCGGCCTGTTCCCCTCAGCGCATTGGGGGGGTGCGGTGCATGTGTGTGGGGGTCATGCTGGAGTTCTTGTTCTTTCGGCCCTCAAAAATGATGAAAATATCAGGTGTGGCCCTCACAGTCAAAAGTTTGGAGACCCCTGATATTATATAGAGGCTTGCTGAGGTATTTCAAAATACATACAAAGGTGATAACTTTAACAGGCCAACCAAAAAACACAAAAAGTATGAAGAAGCACAAACAAGTATACAAGCTTTGAGAAAACACTTCCTTCATTAAGCAGATGTAAAATGTAAACAGGATGTGGGGAAAGAAAGAGGGAAATTGGGGAGAAGCTGTATCTTAATTCCTTGCTGTCTACATAGAATGTAGAATGTCAGGTTAGGTTAGAGTTCAACAATTTATCCTCCCAAAGCTTTTATTATACAGTGGTGCCTCGCATAATGAGCGCCCCGTTTAACGACGAATCCGTGTAGCGATTTGTTTTTTGCGATCACTTCGGCCAGCAGCGCTTCACAACGACGGTGGGGGAGCCCTCCCCTGCAGTCCTCCCAAAGGCCCCATTTTCACACAGCTGATCGGCGGTTCCAAAATGGCCGCCACAACCATTTTCGCACGCTGCCCTTGCTTACCAAGGTGGCGAAAATGGCAGCGCTACAGAGGATCTTCGCATAACAGTGAGTTTTCGCCCCATAGGAACGCATTAAACAAAGTTTAATGCGTTTCTATGGGGTTTTCCCTCCTGCATTGCGATGTTTCCAGATAGCAACATTAATGTGGAACGGGGCACCACTGCGGGGCACCACTGTATTTAAAAGCTTCACCCCTCTTCTGGATAGAATAGTATACTATATATCACTTATGTTGCAGTAGTTCTTTTTTCAGACATTTTGCTTTTTATTCTACTTTTTCTGAATAGAAAAGCAACCAACCACTATTTTATGTGTTTTTGTTTAATCTCTATTTCATATATGAGCAAACTCATTCCAGAAAGGTAAAAATGTGTAATTATAAAGAATACAGTTAGAAAAAATATATCTCAGCTGCATTCTGAAATCTAAAGAATATAATTCATGGCCTTTAGCAATTACAGTGGGGTCTTGACTTGAGAACTTAATCCGTATTGGAAGGCGGTTCTCAAGTCAAAAAGTCTGTAAGTCAAGTCTCCATTGACCTACAGTGCATTAAAAACAGATTAATCCCATAACAGGCCGTTTTTGTTCCATTTTGGTTATATATGAGCAAACTCATTCCAGAAAGGTAAAAATGTGTAATTATAAAGAATACAGTTAGAAAAAATATATCTCAGCTGCATTCTGAAATCTAAAGAATATAATTCATAGCCTTTAGCAATTACAGTATTACATTGACACACATCAGAAAATCTAAGTTGAAAGTCTTTTATCCTTTTATACATTTATGCAAGTATAAAAATCATGCGTTGTAGTCCAAGGTACCTGCTTCTCCTTTGTGCTAGTTTTGTCTAAATTAATCCATTTTATATCATTTCTGTAGCCAGCATCACCTATGGCTTGTTTATCTTCGAATCTCATTCCCACGTGTCATTTTCCATCCTTTTATTTTCATTACAGCATTGGCAGAGCAACTTTTCTAAACATTTTAGGAACATTTTCTAGCCTAGTTACCTTGCTAGAAAAGAAAAGTGTAATAACAGCTATTTTAATCTCACTTACAGAGCATATAATGTAATCAGAATAACATAATTTTTACTGCCTACCTCGCATAGACAATTAGACAATACTATTATCGCAAGAATATAAACTTGACTTGTAATCCAATCCAGACAAACAGTTCATCTTGCTACTATGGCAAAATTAAGAACTTTGAGGTCTTTTTTTTCCATTTACCTACTTTGTTTGCTAAGGAAGCAAATTATCTAAGGAAACAATGTATGGGGGAGAAGAGTTTTAAGGCCACTTGTTATCCCTTACATTTTGTAATATAATCAAGGCAGTGATTACTGCTGAATCTCATCTTTAACATTTTCAAAACATTCATAAATGCATAACCTTACTACTTTGTTCTATTACTAAACTCTCTACATTTCTTAAAAGATAATAATGCTGTTAGTGTTGTTTATCTAACTGAACCAGCTAGATTTCATAAATATCTCTGCTTGGTTATTAAAAGAAACAGCTGCCTTTTGTTCATACTTTCACTAGCTAAGTCAAGCCACTTATTAAAAAAACAAAACAAAACAATTTTAAATGATTTTCACAAAGTCCTGTGTTGACAAGGATACACAGCTACTTCTGGCTACAGCTTCCCATTTGGACGCTGTTGCCAGAAATGTTGTCCATACCTATGGAAATCAGCAACTGATCTGAAGGTGAAGTCTGCCTCCTTTGACTGTGCTGGGATGTGGCTGGATGCGTCAGACTCTTTGGCTAAGACTGTGTAAGTTTGAATGCCATTTATACCCCAGGTGCTATTAGAAGTTCCTTGGTAGTGAACTCCTCTTTACTAGCTTGGGCAGCAACTGGTGAGGGGGAAACCAAAGGCTCCATCATGTTTTTATTTACAGTGGCTTTCACAAGTAGTTCTTCCCTGTTATTTGTTTATTTTGGATGTCTGAGGGAGAATTAAACAGGAAGAAGAAATATGCTTAAAATGTTGAAAGGCATGATAGATTAGGGCTAAAGAACCACTCCTGAAGGGGTTGGAGGTGAGT